TTTCTTAGGCTAGAGTGGGATGGAATTTTGGGTATTTACCATCTCCCATGTGGCAGGCTAGAGCTGGGTAGAGTTGGATGTTTTCCTTCCCCCAGGTCAGTCACGCTGTGATAAAACCTCAGCTCTGGTTAACTATTAGGTCATTAAATATGAAATGTCTGATTTTGAATCAAAAGTTTAGTTTATTGTATCTCAAACAGGAAGCAATGTAGTTAATCAGAGTATGCACCTAAACTATCAACACAGATTTGCCATTTTAATGGTAGCTTGCTTATGCCAGCAGTGAAGAAGCCTCAAGAACAAGTGGTGATGAAATCATGAAAGGTGTATTCCACAGCTTGTTGAGAATTGAATATTTTTCCTTGCAAGAAGTGGTCCAAAGCCTGGAAGAAGTAGGTAGTTGGTGCGAGGGGTGGTAAACATGGTGGATGACAGAGTTTCCAAGTCCAGTCTCTGTAGTTTGAGCAGCATTGTTTTTTGCGACATGTGGTCTTGCAAGAGGATTGGCTCATCTCTGTTGACCAATCTCGGGGGCTTAATCACAAGCATCCTCCTTATTTCATTCAAGTGGTTGCAGTAGACATCCACTGTAATCAATTCACCAGGTTTCATGAAGCTGTAGTGGATAAGACCAGCTCTGGACCACCGAACAGACTCCATTAACTTTTTTTGATGAATATTTGGTTTTGGACTATGTTTTGGCACTTTATCTAACCGTTGTGTCAAATGCTTGAGATTGTCAAAAAGAATCCATTGCTTGTTTAATTCATGCTGTACCCATCTGTCTGGCTTCTTTACTTTGCTGATTTGTTTCAAATGGTCCCATATTGTTGGAATAGTAATGTCAAACCTTCCTGCTAATTCACATGTAGGTTGAGATGGATTCATTTCCACTACAGCTTTTAGCTCATCATTATCCACCATGGTCTCAGGTCACACACATGGCTCAATTTCAAGATTAAAATCACCAGAATGGACCTTCTCAAACCATGTACGTGCTGTGCATTCATTAGCCACATCCTTCCCAAACACTTCATTGATATTTTGAGCTGTCTGCACTGTATTGGTTCCACAATGGAACTCATATTCAAAAATAACATGAATTATCCATAGTTTCATAAAAATTGCTGTGAAAACAATTTGAAAGATAATCACAAACCAAAACGTGCATATGAAAGACTGAGGATGTGCCTTCACAATAAAAGTAAAACAAGAAGCGTCAAAGTGAAATGGCAGAGATATCAACTGTCAAACATACTACTTAAGGAAATCGGACCTTCTATACTTAATAACCTGATAGTTTCTCCTGAGGGCAGACCTTGTTAAGAAGTACAGAGTGCTCTGGGGTGTTACAAAATGGTTTATTTTTCCCTCCCCTTGCTGGAAGCATGAGGGGATTTTTCTCTCATATTGTACTTACTGTGAGAAACCTGGTCTAGCTCTTGGAGGTAAAATTTGAAAGTGTGGGATCCCTCCATGACTGGATATCCTTGGAGTTTTCAACTCTCAGTCTTGTCCACACCTAGCTTTCCGGCACTTTGTAAGTTATAGTTCAGGTTTTCCTATCCTTCTACTGGTTCCTGCAAAGATTTCTGCTCCAGTATGTTGTGATTCTCTGTATCCCTTTCTGTCTCTGTAATCTTAGGGATAGCAGTTTGCTCTCTGACCTTATGTATGTGACCTTTTCTTACAGATCTCAGAAGAGCTGTTGATTTTTCAGTTTGTTCAGCTTTTTACTATTTGTTAGGGTGGAGTGGTGACTTACATGGGAAACTGGAAACCAAAAGTTCCCCATATTGGCCGGG